ATAGATTCGAATGAGGGTTTCAATTTTGGTAATAATTTTTGTAGCTGGACAAAAATGCTATTTAAAAATGCCAACATTTGTATTAAAACAAATGGGTTTCTGTCTAAATCCTTTTCATTAAGCAGATCAATAAGACAAGGATGTCCTATAGCCCCCTTTTTATACATAATACAAACGGAACCAATGGCGTGTGCCATTCACGCAAATGTAGAAATACAGGGAATTAAAATACCAACGGAAAACGGCCATATTGAAACTAAATTATCAATGTTTGCGGACGATACACAACTTATACAACAAATCCAAACATTGGAAATATATGAAAAGGCCTCCGGCTCAAAAATTAACTTCGATAAAACTAAGGGTTTGTTTATTGGGAGGCATGCTAAAGGGCAAGAAACCAAGATTCAAAAAAAATATCCTGTATCAAGGATAGCATAAACGCTTTAGGGGTCCACCATGGTTATAATATTAATAACAGTAAAATATGGGATTCCATAATTGGCAAGATAAAAAACTGTATTCACGTTTGGAAAACAAGAAATTTAACTTACAGAGGTAAAGTATTGATTATAAAAACCCAATTAATACCGATACCAATGGGATACGAGGTTGAGATGATGGGTATACATAATGAATGTGAAAAAGAAATAAACTCGCTTTTCTGAGATTTTGTTTGGGGCTCTAAAGTCAGCCTTGTTGACAGAAAATTATGTTGTCTGGAAGAAAATTTAGGGGGGATCAAAATGATTAATTTGGAAAGTTTCATAAAAAGCAAACATATAGAATTAATTTGTAGAATCTTAAAAAGTCTAACACAAAGTTGGAATGCAATTGCCAAATACTGGCTAAAACATTTTGACAAAAAATTTGGAATGGAATATTTTATATGTACCTTTAAAGATCTAAATGGAATTAATATTAAGTACCGCATGATGTGAATTTTACAGTTAAATGACCGATCATTCAAAACATAGTATCATTGAAGGTTGCATTTCTGTAAATATCGACAATGCAATTTCCCATAGGAACTCCTTTTACGGCTAAAACTGTACCACTTTTACTATGAAGTTTTGAAAAAAATTACATCCTAGAATGGAAAGTTCATATGCACTACTGTTTTTTTCAAAGGTCAAAATATAGGGCTGTGCGGCATATTTTCAACGTTTATATGCCCCGAACTTCTAAGAGTTTAAACTTACACTAAAATTCTGTACTACCCCTACCTTAACTTTAGGTTTTCTACAGATTTCAATTTGACCACTATGCATATGCATATTTACTGGTAACATTCCCAAGTTATGTCTCTACGAGATGAAACATAGAAATCATATCTGGGAACCAGTACGTAAACAAAATTAATTATCTATGAATATTATATATCTCCCCAAAAGAGGCGTGGTTTGAGAAACAGCTATATTTACAAAGTGCAACCTGAAGAGAATATATTTGGTAACAACAATATAAAATGGAAAGGGAAACCTTTGTTCTTCCCTTTCTTTACCAAGTCATATCGCCAAAATTAAAGATGTTTGGAATATCGAAACGGAAACCTTTTATAGTAATAAAACAATATTTGATAAATTAATAGATAAACGTAACTGGATATGCGAATACAATCTAATAAAGAAATCAATCCCTACTGATTGGATTAACGAACTTAGAAGAGCCATTGGTAATCCAACAAATTTGAAGAACATAAAAATCCAGAATAACAAAATATATGACACGAAAAGAAATTTTAAACCCCCAGAAAAAATTCAATTAAAATTATTACAAAAAATACTAAATAAATGTACTAGTGCAAAATGTGAAATTAAATGGAACAGAACATTTAATACGGAACTAGACCCGCAATCAGTTTGGAAAAAGCTACACAAGCTGCCTGTATCAAACAATTTTTTACAATTTCAATGGAAATCACTACATAATATTCATCACACTAATTTAAATTTTCAAAATGCGAAAGTCCGATGGCCTATGTAACTTATGAGGCAAGTTTTTTTGAAACCCAAGAGCATCTATTCTATTATTGTTGTAAAATTCAAAGAATCATCGAAGAAATAAAAAGATTGCTATCTCTGTGTATAGATATAACGCTTAACTTTGAGGTACAAAACATGATTATTGGATATAATCAAGATCTTGATAAAACGCAAATAAATATTGGAAATTTGATAGTCTTTTCAGGAAAATTTAGAATTGAAAAGTCGGAACGACATTAAATTCAACAAAACAATATTTAATGAAACATCCATTCTCCGTATTTTTAAGAAAGATATGAATGATTTTATCAAAATGATCGCTAAATCAAACAAAAAGAACTTATTCGGAATAGACAAACTTGAACATTTATCTCAAATATTGTAATCACTATTAATAGTCGAATTTGACGTCACTTGTTTATATTACATACTATATAATTGTATTACTTTTTTGTACTAATGTTTTACTCACCACAGACTGTTTCTTCATAAGTGTACATACATTTATTTCTCAAATAATCCTTCATAGAAAATTCTGGTGATTGAAGCACGTGTTTTGGCTATGTCAATATCTAACAGGCATTTAACAGGGAACACAATTTAAATAACAAAAGATTTCATAATTGGTTGTCTATTATTTACACGAGCTCGGATTGAACTTCAAACAGTGCAAATGGTTAGAAAGAAAACAATATAAATCACGGCTATATATATTTTTATAATTGTATGTTAAAAGGCCCTTTTATAAAATTATATGAAAATGCAAGATTTCAAAGTGTAAAGAATCGAGGGAAGAATACAGTAACTAATTATAAACAGATGCTGTTTTATATATATATATATATTGAATATGTTCGATCCCTAACATCACTGAAGAGACATTAATTGTCGAAATCCGGATATGGTGTACAAATTTTAGCACCTCATGTTTGTGGTTTACCATCTTTGCCGCAAGTTTATTGTTTTCTGTTTGGTATTTAATTAATATAAAGATCCATTTTGTTACATCTTGTGATCAATTTATTTGACAATCGTCAATGGCAGTCAGCAGGGTTTAAGAACATCAGTTGTTCGACCTGTTAGTCAAACGCGTTTTGTTAAAATATACTTTTTCACTTTTTTTGTCTTTTGGAAAATGTTGTTTGTGCTGTATTTAGAACCCTCTACAACGAAATTTGTTTTGCATGCACACGTATAAAAATTGCGGTTTTTATCCAACGCAATCATATGATTAAACGTTGTTTTCAATTTAGACTTGTTGAATATATATTATATAGAGTTTTTCTTTTTTTTAACCCATTTGTATTTTCCCTGGCAAGTGGGATATATTAAATGAAAGTAGGGACCCCTCTGTCAGCTGCCATGGACTGCTTAGGGTTTATGTATTCTAGGTGATTTAAAATAAAAGATATTACTCACAGAAAAAACCCAAAAAAAACGTTGGCTTTAAAAAAAAAAATTGCCATTTAATCCGGAATTTGTTTGAACGCATTTACCGATAGTGTGTCGTGTGAACAGGGTAATATATAATGTAAATGAACCAAGACGTGTAGGATAGCTAGTCAACACAATGAATACAATTTTCAAAATCATAGATATTGGAAAAATTTAGATGCTATAACTTTAAAAAAAAAAGATTCGAAATTTAATTATTAACATACATTCCTGTTAATGAATCTTTTCTGGAAATTTAAAATATAATATCAATAAACGCAAACGTCAAGTATTAACTGTAGACATTTTATTTATCAAATCAATCACTTCTTAAACTCTTATAGAATAGAAATAGAAAAATCATGTTGTTTAATCATCTTTCTGCTTTCCGACCACTGTGTTGCCGACCTAAGATAAATATTTAAAACAGAAATAACGTTTTTTTTTTATTTTCTTCATGCTTTCCGACATTTTCCCAGGCTATGATTGAAATACAAAATATCGAGTGATAAACGATCATACATACATATAACATTGACACCTTTTTTCTTTCAAAAACTATGAAAAAATAACAAGAATTTTATGAGATTTTCAAATATGGCTTTTCAAACTATATCTAATAAAATCACGGAGGAGAAATATAAGGGTTAGCAGTCAAATTTTTCATGGCTTTACGGATTGTTACCAGTTATTACCAGTTATTAATACATGGATAAAACTAGAGAATTCCGTATATCTGACAAAAATTCAAATACAAGAAGAGCAAACAACCCTAAGATTTCATTTGGGTCGTGTTACGATGGCTTTACGGATTGTGACCAGTGATTACGAGCATTATACGTGTTGTTACAGGTACCATACGAGTATAATTATACGTATACTTTACGTATTCTTACGTATTGTTTAAGATTTTGGGAAAGGTATAAAAGCTGCAAAATCGTAAGGACTCGTTAATACTCGTAACTATTCGTAATGTAAACATGCCGTAACCAATACGTAAAAGCTTCGATGGATGTTTTTATATACTCGTAACAATCCGTAAAAAGCTCGTGAAATGTCCGTAAGTTGCTCGTAGTTATCCCTGACAACTCGTAACAAATGTGGAATTTATCCGTAAATACATCGTAATAACTCGTAAACATCCGTATAAACCGTAAATAGCTCGTAATAACTGCTTACAACACGTAAAAATGGCCAAATCGTAGGGATCTGTGAATTTGTGCGACCGTGTATGTGAAGTGGGCATTAAGAATAGTAGACAAGGTAGAGTCCAACACCCGTAAATTTTTACAAAGTTTGTGTATTATAGTGTGAGAAAACAAGTTTCATTTTATAAACGCCAAAAAGCTAATAAGGATGTATAGTTATAAAACCATTTATGCATAAAAAGTTACAAAATAACTCGTCACAATGAATAGACTAAATCAGGGTTTGTCGTTGATCATGATGTATATTCTTTGAAAATATACCCAACACTTGGGAGAGATTGAATTCTTCAATTGAAAGAATATCAATAGTAAGCTTAAGGCTCTTTAGTATTTGCATACCATACATAGCACATAATGATGAATGACATAAAACTGTAATAATATGTTTTATTCAACTATTCGGAAATTAAAATGTATTTAAGGTGTATCTTTATAATAAGATTTGCAAATATTTTTATGAGTGGTATTATGGCCAACCAAAGTTATTGCTAAATGCATCTCCCATGTTGTCTCCAAGAATATCAAATGCGTCTCCAGTTTTATCCCAAGCATTTTTCATACCACCTCCCATCATATTTCCAAAATCACCCATTTTATTCTCAAGGCTACCAAAAGCGTCTCCAGTTTTATCCCAAGCATTTATAAAACCACTTCCCATTTTGTCTCCAAGATTACCCATTTTATCTCCAAGGCTACCAAAAGCGTCTCCAGTTTTTTCCCAACCATTTTCAAAACCACTTCCCATTTTGTCTCCAAGATTACCCATTTTATCTCCAAGGCTACCAAAAGCGTCTCCAGTTTTATCCCAACCATTTTCAAAACCACTTCCCATTTTGTCTCCAAGATTACCCATTTTATCTCCAAGGCTACCAAAAGCGTCTCCAGTTTTTTCCCACGCATTTTCAAAACCACTTCCCATTTTGTCTCCAAGATTTCCCATTTTATCTCCAAGGCTACCAAAAGCATCTCCAGTTTTTTCCCAAGCATTTTCTAAACTGCTTCCCATTTTATCTTTTAAGTTATCCATATCATTTTCGCTTTGACTATTCATAGCTTTGGTCTTTTCTATGACATCCCTTAAATCAGGAAAATCAGAAATCATTTTTTGAAAACAACTTTGAAGAAAGATCTTGATGTATTTGTGCAATAAACGGTCCAATGTCCCAGTTACATCTATTTAACATTATTCTGTTTTTAACTCATGTTGTCTTCAGAAGTATAACTAAAGAATAACGAAACATTATTTTTTTCTTTTTTTTCTTAAAAAACGAGAAGTAAAGAACAATTGAAATGACGGTCTGTCAGAATAAAATAAATTATCGTAAGCCAGGATACTTAATTAACACAATTCATATTTAAGCAATATGTTGTTATTTTGTATTCCTTGTTGTTTTGTCTCATTGATAATTAGTCTTAATGTACAGATTAAGATGCTTGTATTCTTACCCCATTTGACTCTTGAATGCATCAAACAGACTTCCAAACAGCCCCTAAAAGAAAAGAAATGTATTTGATTTCAAGTGCCATTGTATATGATATGATATTATCATTTTCTCAAAGACTTAACAATTTATCGTTACAGTTTATTTCCTTGAATATAAAGTCAATAACGAACCTGCCTAATGGTTAGACAGTTAAAAGTGTACGTCGATATAAATTTAAATGAAGAAGTATCCACCCAGTGCCTACATACGGCTAGAGGCGAAAGATATCAGTGGAACATTCAAAGTCATAAGTCTAAAATAATCTGACAAATCCATGGCAAAAAAAGAAAAGGACCAAAAGGCAAACAACAGTATACAAAACACAACATAGAAAACTAAAAACTGAGCAACTCGAACCCCAACAAAAAACCGGCGGTTATTGCAGGTGCTCCGGAAGGGTAATCAAATCCTACTCAACATATGGCACCCGTCGTGTTGTGCATGTTAGGTCAAATCCGATGATAAGTCTAATGCGGTCGGTTACGTTCGGGGGAAAGAGGATGGGATTGTGTTTAATTACGACAATTGGATAATTGATAACACATCATTGAAATGATATTTTAGGTACTGATAATTAACGTTTTTCACAATGCAATTAACTTTAAAAGATACGTTTTATTAAAATAAATTACACAGTCATACTCCAATAGGATTGATGGCATACATGAAATTAACAAAAATTTGAACTTCATGCGATTCCCGTGGTCTTTGTTTTATATGTATTTATTTTCTTCCTAACAGATTAATGGGGAAATTAATCGGCAAATTACTGTTGACTCGAAATTTAGAACGAACAACAAAATAAGGAAAACAACTCTTTGTAAAGTCCATGCGTCCGAATCGCTTTTCTGGATTAACCTTCGCCGGGAACGCTCAACGCCGAATATTTGAAATTTGAATATTTACAAAAGTGGAGATACCTTTTGCCCCAAAAATGAAAAATGAATGTGTTTAAATAGGTTATTTCTATGGTGATCATATTTTTATACGTTTATAGTAATTTTGTGTTTTAAAATTAAACATTTAACATAACGTCTGTGCAATTCCTTTGATCAGATATGGTTTCCTGGACTTATCATATACAAACATGAACCAATAAAAGCAACACAGACATTAAGAAAAAAAAATACAGAATTATGGCAAAAGCAACACGAACTCCCAATCACACAAACATGAACACAAGCAATGCTTGCATAGAATATAGGGCGGTATTATATCTATAAAAGTACGTAATTATATTAATGTACTTGCTTTAAGTTACTACAAGTATGCCTTGATTAGATGTATTTTAACTTTTCATTCCAAAGGATGTTCGAAGTTACTGAAAGCAATTGCATTGTACATAACTTGCTGATATAAAGTCATGCCGTCGACCACTCGTATCGATGACTGTACTTCACAACTTATATTTCGTATGTCAATGTCATAAAATGTACAAGAAAACATGCTTATCCATATTAAAAGACCTACCCTTTTCACCCTTTGTGTAGGTCTAGCGTCTACGTTGTACATCAGAGAAAAAATGATGATAAGGGTTACGGATTCCACCTTCATGATGCTGAAATACAAGTAAATAATGCTGAATTTTTCAATAACAATATGAGAACAGAGGATCACATTTACATACTAGTAAACATATGAACAGTTTTAGTGAAAAGCTGTTGAGGGAAATGTACACTTACAGGTCTTCGATCTTAGAAAATTAAGCTTGCGTGTGCAATTAGATTGATGTTAACTTTAATTGTTGAGATTTTATCTTATATGATGCTGTTATGTCTTTCACGAAAGATGACTTGTTTTAAAGGTATCAATTTTTAACTCCGATGTTGTCTTATTTGTATTTTATTTCATTGTTCATTATTAATTGTACATGCTAATAGACGCATTTGTGGGCAAGTACAAAATACAATGTAGTTATAGCCACAACAAAGAGCAGAAGTTATTGGTTTAGCATTGTAACAAGATATTTAGATATTTGTCTAAATACTAATGTCGTTGGTTTCCTGTTTTGAATACTGTTGTAGTTACATATTTTATCTTATCTTACCTCCTATACATTTCTAGGAATATCATTGGTTAAAAGCGACCGCGTGGAGACCGTGTATATTTCATATGGGGTTAGTAATACACGGTTAGTAGTGGTGTTACATTCCTTTATAAAAACAACACGGCGTTGAGGAAAAATCTGTAACGTTTCACCCGGACAACAGATATAAATAAATAAATGAATAAATAATTAAATAATCTTTATTTCAAGAAAATAATCCGGCCATTAGTTAAAACTAATCTTCCTGAGAATCCTCAAAATAATAACGTATACATAAAGTACATACAATATTATAGTGATCATACTGATAAAGGATATCTGTTATCCGAAATATTTAACATTTGTTCATTTTTTATTATTATTTTTTGGTGATTTTGTACCCTTTTAGACTTGTTGTATATTATATTTTGTTGTGTACTTTATCATAATTATATGATCCATCGCCCCGTAAGATTTATCGTTGGCTATAATTATTCAGTCATTCAATATTATAATGATATAAGCATACACAATATACAATTTTATATAGATATTAATGAAAAAAAACATCTTAATCTGCCTTCGTCATGAAAAAGTTGTTACATTTTGCTTTAAAAGATACAATTACTCATCTTTATTTCATTTATTAAACTGTTCCATATTTGAGAACCAGAATATATAAAAGCTTATTCAAAAAATTTGTTTTTGGCTTCGGAAGTTTCAATACTTTTTCATCAGCTGCATGTAAATTATAATTTTGATTATCAGTAAAATGAAAATTTTCTCGTAAATAGTTGGGAACCATATCCTTTAATGATTTAAATACTAGTATTTCCTTTTGATATTGAATTCGTTTTTTCACATTCAGCCAATTCAAACTATTAAACAATAAAGTAGAGGATGTCATTATGTCAGCTTCTACTATGACTTTATCAGATTTCTTTAATAACTATTAAGTTTATTCATTTATTCCACTTTCATTACAACTACCCCATATATTGCAACAATAATCAAACAATGGCAGAATATAAGCATTAAAATAAATAATACGTGTATGCATAGGTAAATACTTTCGTAGATGAAGAAATTGATGATGAACGATTGAAATAAATGCACAAAAAAAAAACACATTGAAAGCTAACAAGTTGTTACTGGTGGCATTTGTTTTTTATAGACTGTGTAACTATAATAATATCGGGCATTTTATAGTTTACTTTACGGTATTGGTTTTTAATCATTGTTAAAGGCCGTACGGTGACATATAATTCTATAATTGTTCACATCTTTGTCCATTGGTATCTATGGACAGCTATCTCATTGGCAATCATTTATTTGTTTTCAAAGTCAGGAAAAATTGTGAATTTTAAATGAAGAACAGCAATAAAAATGCCTTTGCTTTTTGTGATTTTTGTATTCTATTTCACGAAAGAAATTTTGGATTTAATTATCATAAAAGACAAAAATGAATAGAACGTGAGTTTAATCAATGGGTGTTCGACCGAGATGAAAGTATAACGGTGTCAATGAATTACATACCCAATTCGGCATGGCGCTCTCAACCAATAACACTAAATCAAAAGTTTAAAACCATAAAAAAAAACCACACACACAAAAAACCAACCAGATTGAGCATGTGTTTTAATCCTAGAGGAATGAGAGCTTATTTTACTATGATGAACAATAACATATAATATAAATATTCCATGAAACTGTTTCCGTTTTAATCATTTTTTTATTTAGTAGACCAATGGTAAAGCCTCAAATGGTTTTCTCAAAAAGCATTACAGATGAATAAATAGATAAATAAATTAAAACATAAATGAACGAATGAATGGATGAATGTATGAGTATGAGTTTTACTCCTCGTTGAAGGCTGTACGATGACATGTAGTTGCTTACATCCACGTCATTTGTACTCTGGTGTCTGGTGGATAGTTGTCTTATTGGCAATCATACCACATCTCCTTATTTTCTTATATAAATACATAAAAATAAAAATATACCACGTAAAATCTTACCAGTTTTATAGTATTCACAATGGTCAGTCTTTACCTTCACAATGGTCAGTCTTTACCGTCGTCTCCACTTTGGTATATATGTAACAGTTTTATAGTATTCACAATGGTCAGTCTTTACATTCACAATGGTCAGTCTTTACCGTCCTCTCCACCTTGGTATATATGTGACAGTTTTATAGTATTCACAATGGTCAGTCTTTACCGTCCTCTCGACCTTTGTATATATGTAACAGTATTATCACAAATTTGACAATTTACACGTATACAGTTTTTCACAACTAAATGTCAATTTGAAAATTAAGTTTGACATTTAATTTAATTATGTCTAATTTCTAATGGTAACGAAATTATGGAAAATAATCGTAAATTTAATAGACGTGTCATTTTGTAAAACGGGGGAACGTATGGATCAAAAGAAATAACAAAGTCAAATTATATCCGTTATATTTATAGATCTTGTCCAGTCACTTAGTAACCTTCACCATTACTGTAGAAATGGAAACCAGCTGTTTAAGAAACAAGAAACCGTTATTTTTCGCTTGTAGAAATGACTATTTGGTTTATAACCCTTATTAGACATTATTAAGTCGAATAAGGGATAATAAGCCAACTTGATGCCTATTCCTGGCCAAGCTTTTAATTTTTCGGATAGACTGAAAACGACAAACAGATACAACGTTGTATTTGCTTCGTTAGTTTGCTGTGTTATTTAAATGTATCCATACATCTCTTTTATTTTATTCAAGGTACAGTATCTATAATATAAACACTGTTAAAATTGGGATATATCATATACTGTAACATGCCTGCAAATAGAAAAAATGGACGAACAGTTCTTATTTGGTATTTTGAAAATTTTTAACTACCTCTAAACCCACGGCCCTGTTGACAGTTGATTCCCATGGGTGCCATCTGACAGACAGACACTGCTTTGATTTTGATCACGATGCAATCTCATAAATTCTTAGTTTACAAATTTTATTTCTTTCTCTAAGAGATGCGGACTTGACCACGAAAAGTTACCATTTTAACACTGACTCCTAAAAAGAGGTCAAGGTAAGGTGAATCTGTCTGACGGACAAGAAGAACTTGCATACATCAAATAAAGTTATCCTATCAATCATAATGAGTGTGAAGTTGTGAAGTTCACAAAAAACAACTATGCAATTTTTAGGCAGTCGCTGAAATATGAAAATGAGGTCAATGACAATGGACAAAAGACAAATCATAAGGGGTGTGTATGCAAGGTGTGAAACATTCTGGCTTATTAATTTCTAAAAAAGAAGGTTTACACAAATAGTCAAAGGGCCGCCAATTTTGCATCCTTCGGTCCGGCGAGAGCAAAATACCAATATGAATTTTAAAAAGAAACATGATCATCCAATTCACATACATCCCATTCGGCGGAAGACAGAGTTTTGTCGTTTCTTAAATTTTAATGATTGTTTACGATGTAGTTATATTATTTTAACAAATATAAACTTCATCAACGTCACTTGTTTGTAAAACATTTGCCAATGTGCTATAATCATTACACAATGGAGAGACCAAAGAACCGTTTATTTTCCTGTATTAAAGAAAGGTTCGACATTGCATTTTCTGGAACTATTTTACTTACTTATATTTAGTTTAAGTATTATGTACCTTTTTGTTGTTTCAATACTAAACATATGAAGATACTATAGAAAATCCACAACCTTTCGCGTTGTACTCTTATATTTGTCAATTCTGTACTTTTGATAGAAAGAGAATTACTGCATACAAGTGAGCTAGCAATGATTTCCCTAATACAAGTTTTTAAATAAAATAAATAAATTAGAGCAGGTACCTATATGGAACTATTCAAGTACACCCGACTATTGGCTCCACGATGTTTTTTTGGATTGCGAAGGTTGTTTAGAAATTTTTCGTAAACAAGTGAGTAATTTATGTTTAAAAGGTTATAATGAAAAGCTCTGTAAGTCTTGTGGATTTTCTGTAAAAACCTTTAATTAATTTGCCACAAAATTCACAGTTTCTATTAAATGCAATGGTACTATAAATATCATTTCTATTAACGACGTTTCCCTTTGGTATATGTACAAAATGACACGTCTCTTTTATTCAGTATTTTTGCTGTTTTGGTAGTATTGCACATCAAAATTGTCGCCGTTAAAGAAAGGCGGAAGAAACCAAAGTGTCGAAAACGAACTGACAAAAAGCATTAAAAAAACAAGCAAAAGACAAACGACAGTCTACAAAACACAACATAGAAAAACAAAAGACTGAAGCAACACAAACCAAACCAAACAAAAACTGGGAGTTATCCCAGGTGCTCCGGAAAGGTGCGCCACATGTGGCACCCGTCGTGCTAAAATTCATTTCCACACAATGTGAAATTGAAATATTTTTGTTTCAGTAATGCAGAAATTCAAGTGTTTACGGATTCAAATAAATAATATGTTGTCCTTTTATAAAAATCGTTTTTGTAACGAGCTATTAATCGCCTGTTGTAATCAGATTTTTATTCATAAAATATTAGTACGCATTATTTTAATTGACGATACCGGGTTCTGCTTTGTGGAATTTTTGGACGAAACTGGGTCGTACACATGGACAAACCCAGGTCCTTCCATTTTGACATGACCCATTTCGTTCGTTCCATACATAAAATGTAAGTATTGAGGTGCAAAAACATTTAATCTCGTAATTTCGTGTATATATCTTTCTTTCTGTACGTTTCTTTCTTGAGAAATTAAACAAATTCGATGGAAAGTTATTTGCCGTGCATTTTTCTTATTTCTCTTTTAAATCTGGAACGGTTGTAGAACATATTACATCTCACAATCGAAAATAGTAATATATGTATTTATATTCTAATAAAGTTTTGATGTGCAGGTGGTAACAGTTGGTTTGAAAATAGGTATTTAGTTATATATCGATAAATCAACCGTGCACGTGGTTCAGACCCGACTGACCACATATTCAAAATTCTTTAGAGAGATATGTAATGCAAACTTACCCATTGATAGATGCTTTTATCGTATTTCCGATATATCTTTCTGCTCAGCACTTTGCACAATATGTATGTATATTCTAATTAAGTTTTGATGTGCAGGTGGTAACAGTTGGTTTGAAAATAGGTATTTAGTTATATATCGATAAATCAACCGTGCACGTGGTTCAGACCCGACTGACCACATATTCAAAATTCTTTAGATAGACATGTAATTTAAAGTTACCCATTGATATATGCTTTTATCGTATTTCCGATATATCTTTCTGCTCAGCACTTTGAAAATCCCATAAAGCAGTTTTGTGACGTTGCAAAAGACTAGACAAACCGACGACCAAATTGGAGATAGAGTTACTTCGCCTTTATATTTTTGCAAAACTATGCTTCAAATATGAAAACTGATGCACACTATATTTTAGATGAAAAAATCAGTCATCAATTCGATAAACAGATTATCAGTTATGCAGCATATAAATAGCGTAGGGGCCTCGGTGGCCGAGTTGTCTAAGTAGTCGAACTACTGTGTCACTAGCCTGTCACCACTGAGGTTGTGAGTTCGAATCCCGCACGGGGCAGGTGCACTCGACTCCAATCTTAATTGACTAGGATTGTCATTTTTTCTACCGAAGGTCGGTGGTTCTGTCCGGGCACTCCGGCTTCCTCCACCAATAAAAATTGACCGCCACGAAATAGCACAAAAGTGTTGAAAGTGGCATTAAACACCAATCAATCAATCAATATAAATAGCGTAAAATATCAGTCAAACATTTCTGGTACATGTTAAATTAAAAAAATGAAAACAACACGTTATAAATTTCATGCTTCCGAAGCTCTCTTCTGGATTTACCTTCATCAGGAACACTCAAAGCCTAATATTTGAAAGCCAACGATGTATAAGAACCGAAACAATTGAAGAGCTATATAACCAAAAGGACCTAAAAATGTAGCCAAATCCATCTAAGGTCATCTTTGCCTGAGGGAGTTGAAACCTTAGTTTCCTTATAATTAAAAAAATTATAAACGAACAATTTTAGGAAAGTTTGTTATAAATCATGTCAGTACCGAAATACTGACTACTGAGTTAATGATAACCTCGGGGACTGATATTCCTCCAGCAGAGGTATCGACCTAGTGCTGTAAAAAAATGAAAACAACACGTTATAAAGTTCATGCGTCCGAAGCGCTTTTCTGGATTTACCTTCATCAGGAACGCTCATTTTGATCTAAGATATCAGGTTTTCTGTTACGTAAGATATAAGTTGCTGGTCACAACACGAGGATTAAGTTAAGAGTAAGTGTATTGATATTGGCAGATAACATTTCGTAATGCTAATCATTTCTTTAATTTTCTTTAATCATGTCAGTATGAAGTTCTGACTACTGAGCTGGTGATACCCTCGGGGACTGATATTCCTCCAGCAGAGGTATCGACTTAGTGCTGTAAAAAAAATGAAAACAACACGTTATAAATGTCATGTGTCCGAAGCGCTTTTCTGGATTTACCTTCATCAGTAACGCTCAAAGCCTAATATTTGAAAGCCAAGGATGTATAAGAACCGAAACAACTGAAGAGCTATATAACCAAAAGGACCTAAAAATGTAGCCAAATCCATCTATTTCTCCTACATCAAAAACAATAAGAAATAGAAGTCTGTATTTAATAACATTACGATATCATTTTACTGCACCAGATGCGCATCACGACAATTGATCTAAGATATCAGGTTTTCTGTTATGTAAGATATGAGTTGCTGGTCACAACACGAGGATTAAGTGAGAGTAAGTGTATTGATATTGGCAGATAACATTTCTTAATGCTTATCATTTCTTTAGTATAGAGATACATTTAGCTCTTCCTATAATTTTTCCCTTTTTCTTTTAATTGAACACAACAAACAGCGTATCAGTAGAAAAAAAATTGAAACTGATTTTGTTAAATGTTGTTTAGTAGTTTCAGATAAGAAATTTTGTTTCAATTACTAGGCAGAGTCGGATTAACCGGCCACCCCCTTATGGAGCTCGATATATGATAAATGCATAGACCTTTTTACAAGTATCACTCCAAACGTTGGTTTGCCAGGTTTCCCTCCCCTTTTTCAAAATCCTGGATCCGCACCTGCTAGGTGTTTAACATGTGCAAAAACACTCTTGATCGTCCAACATAACTTTTAAAAAGGGGCTTGAGCAATTAGCTTTTTTACGCTATTTTTCTGTAAAAGAGAGGTAGTGACTGTCAAAAGTTTGAATGGAAATGAGAATATCATTTTAAGTAGACAAAAAGAAGC